TTTTTTTTTTTCGTCCGACGACGAATTACTTAAGTATGCACGCGAGAAATGTAAATAATCGTAATAGTCGCACTTGCGCCTCTCGATAAATATTCATGAACGCAAGTAAAAACGCTGAACTGCCATATAGCCGCGCGTATTCACGCCTCTATATAGTCGCGCTTATAAATATTGATTCCTCCCGTGAAATACGACCCGAATGAATCTGATTAATCCGTTCCTGGTTCGAAGGTCAACGGGAGAAACTCTACTCGCGCGGATACGCACGCTGCTCCCGGTCCGCTTATGCCTTTTTTTGCCTTTACATGCGAAACGTTACATTACCTCGCCGGTGAAATCGGCGAGTTATGAAAGGGAAAATTCGGGCCGCGTATACGATGCGGCAACGCGTGCATCTGCAACGGGGGGCCGTCTCGCTCCGCCGAGCGACATTCATATTCGCATTATATTGCAACTTCCATTTCGGTCGGACGGACTCGATTGCCGGCACGAGGATCATAATGCCGATCGAATCGAGAGCCCGCGCGTTTCCCTCAGCCCGAAATACCCTCGCCCTATTCGATAGATACGGGAGAAATAACGATTCCTCCATTTCGCCCCCGCCCCCGCCCCCGCCCTCCCCTCTCGTCAGCACGTAAATCGCCGTTATTCTCCGCGCGTCGTCAATATGAATTTATTATACTGTCAATCCGCGAGCGTATGACCGTGCGACTATAACGTGCAAAGAGCGACCCAGTACCTTCGATTTTATTTCCGTTGGCGCGTTCCTCGGTCAATCTAGAGTCGTTCGTTTCATGCCATCTAAAGTTTTATGCCAGATAGATGTGACCGTGATTTAATCGCGGGGGAGACCTAAAATGATTTCGCTCGAGAGACGGACAACGTCGCGTTTTACATTCGCGAGCTGTTGTATATACCCGCTGTCCGTCGAGAATGATTATCACGTCGCCTGCAACGTCATTCATATGTGAATGACATTCGATTTCACATGAAAAACTCTCCCAGGCAGCCGGACACGTTTTCCCCTTCATAACTTATTCTTCCATGCCATAAAAAATTAATATGTAGATTAAAATGTTAAAAGGGTTCGTAATGTTTTACGGCAGGGAGAAGAAAGAAATTTTTTAATTATGAAAGGAAACATGTTCTTGAGAGTGAAATTGAACGTCATCCGAACGCGAATGACGTGGCAGTCGATATGTTAAATAGAAGAAGGCCGTAAGCTTCACTTGTATTTTAACCACCGTGTCTTTAACCGACTTGCGATCGATTTTTTATTAATCCGTTTTGCGCCAAGCAAATACGACCGTGAATTGAATTAGAACTTCAGAAAATCGCTTATATATATATATATATATATACCCATAATTCGTCAATTAGAATAATATAGAAATAGGAGAAGGTCAAAGCTTCAATTTGTATTTAACTACCATCTCTTTGACTGACTGAGTGACTTGCGATCGATTTTTTATTAATCTGTTTTTCGCCAAGCAAATACGACCGTGAATTACAATAGAACATCAAAAAATCGTTAAAAATTATAAGTACATATTCAATAATACCTATAATTCTTCAATTAGATTATTAGAATAATATAGAAATATAAGAGAAGGTCATCGAAGCTTCAATTTGTATTTTAACTATTATCTTTTTGACTGACTTGCGATCGACCTTTTATTAGCCCGTTTTGCACCAAGTAAATACGACTGTTTGCAGTAGGACTTCAGAAAATCATTGTTAAATTCGCAGAGTCAAATTATACTCAGCTTGAGTCACTTTTAATCGGTCCTATAGGTCGCCACTGCTCCTACTCAATATGTCGTCAATTTTACTAAACCAATGTTATTGTAACTAAACTAATGGAGTTAGAATAATAAATTTCGACACATATGATAGTTAAAAATAACAAAATGTTATTTAACTCAAGACATTGGTTTAAATTTTGACCTTTAATATATTTCACGGTGTACGGTTACAAATTCATAATGTATCTATATTTCGTCAATAAAATGATACAAGCACAAATAGAGGAAGAAGGCCGAAGCAACTTATACATTGAAACGGCTGTCTTTTTAACCGACTTGCGATTAATCTTTTATCAGTCCGTTTTCGCCAAGTAAATTAGCCGTGAATTACAGAAAAACCGTTAAAAATTACAAGTATTCTACAAATTGTACCTTCATCAATTAGGATAATACGGAGATTGTGCAGAAAGCGTTCCACGAACAATTTCTCTGACTTTCGCGTTTTTAACCACAGCCGCTCGCGCGATTTTACTATCGATATCGCTGAGTAGCAACAGTAATCGTCGATCATGCGAGGACTTAAGAGGCAAGATAAATAAAGAGGAGAGGAATCGCTCTCGCTCGAGAGCGAAACGACCGCGAGGCCAAGAGCGAAGATTAGCAGTGTGCACGCGGGAACATCGCTTCGGGAATGTATCGCGTCCCGTTCGAGAAATTCCGTCTTTTCGCCCCGCGACGAGGGGGCGAGAAGCGGTTTCTCGCAGTCGCGAACGACCGCGGAACCCTGCCCCCCTCCCCCAACGTCGCGGTCGTGCTAAAAGATCATAATCGCACGAACGTGGTTCCGTCCATTCCGTCCTGCAGGTAAAATGCAAGGTAAATAAACGCGCGACGCCCGCGCCGTCCAATTTCTTCGATCGTCGACCGAGACGACCGCTCGCCGCTCGCCGCGCGTAATATGCAATCCGCTTTACGCAGAGTGCCCCGAATGAACCTAAGGTCATCGGCGAGAGCGCGACACACGCCCCTCGCCGTATTTTCGCTATTCCATATATTTAATATTAATTACCTACTCGCGTGCATCTCTGCTCCGGACTCCGAGCGCGAGCCGCACGGTCGTACACGTCGGACCGGAGCGGACCGCGCCAGGCCGGTCACGTGCCGACGCGTGGCGTCCGCTACCTCGCCGTATACAATCGCATCGAGAAACAATTAACGATGAGACAGACACCGCGGGCACGTATACGTGTGTGACGTCAATCGTCGAAGATAACGGGCGCGAGCGCTCGCGGTAGTAATCGGTAGTGGTGGGCGTCGGGTGCACCGACGTAGGTTACGTGGGAGCAGCGGCGGGTGGGCAGGGGGTGGAGGGGTGCGAGGAGGGGGAGAGGGAGACGAGTCGCGGGGGGTGGAAGAGAAAGAGAGAGAGAGAGGGAGGCAGACCGAGAAAGGAAGCGAAAGAGAGGGATGGTCCGCTAAGAATGGCCGGGGCGACGCGGCGTACGAGGGGGCGGCGAGGGCCGAGGGCGCCGACACCGTCGTCCGTCGTCGTCGTCGTCGTCGTCATCGTCGGCGAGTGCCGGAGCAGCAGCACGGCAGGGGGGTGGTAACATGGCCGCCGGTCAGTCGGTATCGAGCCGTCGCGCCGAGCGGAGCTCCTACGCTGACTCGCGGCGCGCGTAGGCACGGCGACGGTTCGATTCCGCTCCGCTCCGCTCCGCTCCCGCTACGCTCCGTCCGCTCCGGCGGTGGTGGACCCCAGGGCACCCTCCGGATATATCTGGCGGGCACGCGCGCGTCGGCGCCTATCTTCTCTCACCTCCGATGGGTCCCCTGGAGTACCGTCTCCCCGTCACCGTCGCCATCGTCATCGTCGTCGCTGTCAATTCCGCCTGTCTCGCCCCGCGCGTTCATCGGGGGATTCTCCAGGTGGCCAACCGGTAATCGCCGAGCCAAGGTAGGTGAGCGACTCGAGAGAGAAAAGGGAGTCGACCCCTTCGGTACGCCGTCCCCCCCTTTCTCTCCCCCCCCGGCCTGAGAGAAGATCCGCGCGGAAACTCGTCCGAATCGCGAGCGGAATTTCCCGTCCGCGTCCTGACGTCGGCGACCTCGTCCGACCGCGCGCGCGGGGTTCTCCGTCATCGAGGAGTATCGACGGCGATCGATCGGCGGAGTCTCTCTCTCGCTCTCTCTCTCTCGATGGGTAGGAGGTCGTTGTCGATCCATGACGTCAGCCGAGGATCTCTGTTGTACTTGTTGCGGGCGGAACTTTGTACCCCGTCCGTCGGGACCCGCGAGGCGAATCCTTGACGCGCGAATCTCTTTCTCTCTCACTGTCTCTCCTTGAGACCGTCCGTCGCCCCCGTTTACCTTCTTTCGCGCCGTTTCTCTCCCCCTTTTATCTTCTTTCTCCCCGTCCGCGTCCGCGCGACGTCCTTTCTTCCGGGATACCACGTCGCGCCGCGGCCGTCCCCGACGCGACGTCCGTCGGATCGGCCGGCCTTGCGAGCCCGCGTCAGAACGCGGCGAACGCGTGATAAATAATTATCGTGAGTTAGACGGTCGCCGATATCGCTTCGTGATATACCTCCGGGGAGCGAGACAGCGAAGATATTGATATTCGCCAGTTGAAGAAGACTGCTCGCGCGCGCGGGACAACGAGCCGCAATTACGAGCCCGTATAAAAGTCCGATCCGTCGGGGATCCGACTTTTCGAAGTAGGTCTTTATGAATGTTCATCGGAACTCGCGCCTGCGTATAATTGCTCGCGCAAACATCAACACGTAAAAAAAAAAAAAGAAAAAGAGGGGCTCTACGGTGCACGAGAGCGGAAAGTCACAAAGGGTCGTGCGACAAAAATTGACGTTTCGGACGATAGCGAGAAGAAAGAGCGTGGTCAAAGCCGGTTATTAAAAGTAGCACAAATGATGACGTGAGTAACGAGCTTCTCAAGAAAGTTTTTTTTTTTTTTATGTACGAGAGATCACGTTCAGGCCGCTTGCGACTCTCCGCTCCAACGATACTGATACGATATGGAGAGAGAGAGATACCGTAGTATCTTTGCACAACTTTACACCGTTGAATTCGTAGGGTCAAATTATACTCAATTTGAGTATAATTTTTAACCATTCTTATAAGTCGCCACTGCTCCTACTCAATATGTCGTTAATTTAACTAGCCAATGAAATTAAGATGCTACTGTTTATAATAATAAATTTTGATACACATGGTAGTTAAAAATAACAAAATGTTATTTAACTCAAGGTATTGGCTTAAATATTGTCGTTCAATTTTTTTCTCCTTTAATAACATGTACTATTAATGTTATTTTATTACAGTTCCTTATAATTTTCATTCGTAATCAAGACAATCGTTAAATAATACACTTGTTAATTTGACGCAAAGCCATTTTGTGAAACTTTGTTAGAAACTAGAAATCGACTTCCCTTTTAAAGCCGCGCGCTCCGCGATTGTTGCAGATTAGCGAGGAGATCGGAGGGAAAAGTTAACTTGTAAGAGCGTGCGAGTTGAAAGAGAAATTGTAAACATGGACACTGGATCTACACAGGGTAAAAAGCAAATCCGCGTCGGATTTTACGATATCGAGGGAACGATCGGCAAGGGTAACTTTGCCGTTGTAAAGCTGGCCAGACATCGAATCACGAAAACGGAGGTACGCACGCGCGCTTTTCCCCGATATTTGTTAAGCGACGACGTTACATCTGTGAAAAGAAAAAGAAAAATGGTCATTATTGCTGATTCGCATTTTCCTTCACAGGTGGCTATCAAGATAATCGACAAAACCCAATTAGATCCTACTAATCTAGAGAAAGTTTATAGAGAGGTCGAAATTATGAAGCAGCTGGAGCACCCGCATATCGTCAAATTATATCAAGTTATGGAAACGAAGAACATGATTTACATGGTAAGAATAACGAAGATGTTGCAGCCGTTTCCCTTCTCCCCGTTTCTTTTCTTGCCGCGAATAAAACGCGAGACTTGGTCGCTGTTGCAGGTGTGCGAATACGCGAGCAAAGGTGAGATATTCGACTACATTGCGCGATACGGAAGAATGGGAGAGCCCAGGGCACGTGCGACATTCGCTCAGATACTCTCCGCGGTCGAGTATTGTCATGTGACGGGTGTGGCACATCGTGATCTGAAAGCGGAAAACCTGCTCCTCGACGCCCAGATGAACGTGAAAATTGCCGATTTCGGCTTCAGTAACAGATTCGCCCCGGGGGAACGATTGAGCACGTGGTGCGGTAGCCCTCCCTACGCTGCTCCCGAAGTCTTTCGTGGGAAGCATTACGCCGGACCGGAAATCGACGTATGGGTGAGTCCCGCGTGCAGACGACACGCTTCGCAAAAATCGAGATGGCAAAACGAATTTACATTGATTGCACGTTCGAAATAAATATTTTCGTTTTTGTAGAGCCTGGGCGTTGTGTTGTACGTGTTAGTGTGCGGAGCACTGCCCTTCGATGGATCAACTCTTCAGTCATTAAGAGATCGTGTGCTAAGCGGCAGATTTAGAATTCCTTACTTTATGAGCACAGGTGATTATGATAAACATACATTTTATACATGCATTCAGTATCCAAGTATTTGCATTGCATATATCGAAATTCGTGTTACAGATTGCGAAAGCCTAATACGCAAGATGTTAGTGCTGGAGCCTTCCAAACGATACACCATTCCACAAATCAAGAGGCACCGTTGGATGGCAGGGACAGCAGATAGCATTTGTTCAGTGATCGTAACGCGGCCATCGTCATCCATTCAGGAACCAAATGAGCAAATACTTCGACTCATGCACAGCTTAGGAATAGACATTAGTCGCACTAGAGAGGTAAGAAAACATTGGTTTCATTGCTATCTTACATAAAACGGAGAATATAAATATAGTATTTATCTATATATACGAGATATATTTATTCATTAAGAAAGTAATCGTATTATATTCTTGAATTATACACCTCGTTCGGTTTCGAGAAATAAATATGGCATTGTCTAGCGAATTAGAAAGACAGAAGATTTTTACAAGCTACACACATATTATTTTGATATATTTTCTAATGCGCTGTGTGAACATGAGTGTTATCTTTTAACAGTCTTTACGAAATAGCAGCTACGACCATCACGCTGCTATTTATTTCTTACTGCTGGAAAGGTTGAAGCAACATCGCGTCAGTAGCACCATTAATAATGCCTGCTGGTCCTCAGTTGCAAGAACAAAAGAAGATAAATTTAAATCAAGGTAGACACATATTATCAAGTACCATCACGTATATTCACGTATTATCACCTTCTTTTGATGGACTTAATTTCAAATACCGATTTCACTTTAGTTACTTCCAATCCTACCAGTCGGAGCGATATCGCAAGAACAATGCCTTAATGTAATCAATTTTTATTTACAGCGATAGCTTAGTGGGACGTTGAACTTTATTGATGGGTGACGCACATATTGAAGATTTTGTCAGGTTGGATTGGAAGCACATTGCTGTCGCTTTATTTTTGGTAACTCCTCATTTCGTTTTCTTATTTCTTTCTTTACCCTGAATCCTGATTTTTTATCATAATTTTAGTTTGGTTTTTTTATTATGAGTAAACAGCACATTATTATTTTTTAAATGTTTTTCTATCATTGATGATTTCATATTTTTCGCATTAATCATATTTGACTGACAAAATCTAATACCCCGCAAATATATTTTATACTCGACATTCACTTTAGCTAAAAGATGAAATGATGAGAATACTTGATTAATACTCTCTGAATTCATTGCTGCATAGAGCGTCTATTCGCAGTCATCGCAAAAACTGCAATGGCAGAATAAACATTTATTTCAAATATTAACGAGAGAAAAATCTCTTCCTTGTTCCAGAGCAAGAGAAGATGGCAGCAGAGGGGGAAAGAGATTTAGCTCGACGAGTTCTTCGACCGATGAAGGTTGTTGCAGCGCGGAAGGTGATTTAGAAGAAGGCCCAAGCGGAGACGAGTTGCGCGAGGCGCAAATCAAATTGGAAGAGCATAGATTAGGCCTAGATCACGATATCAGTCAACGAATTGACAGTCAGATAGTCAATCGAAGATTAAGTGATTATCAACATCATTTTGATAACCCGCTTATGGATCCTATTGATCCACCCAGTCGAACGACTTTGTTTATGGCGGGCGGTACCGGTAGCTCGTCGTCGGAACTCTTCGAGTCCAGCTTCGATTCTGGCTGCCCGCCAGATTATACAGGGGCGAATTGTTTCACGAGCAGTTTACCATCTTGCACGCCACCGCCACCCAAGAGTCCATCCCCTATCACTGGTCGAATATCTCGAGTCTCTCAGGGACGAAGAGCGTCCGATGGTGGACCTAGATTACTATTCTGTCAGCAAGGTGTCGGCGATAGGCCATCCAAGCAGAGAAGTATTCAAGGTGCGTCACGTCTGTTTGTTTGTTTGTTTGTTCGTTCGGCAACTCCACGGTTTACAATAACGCAATAATTTAATCGCTTTTTTAGATTCGGGAAAAGCTCGAGGCCACCTGGATCTAGTCCATCTCAGACCACCGTCCACACCGCCCGATAATCAACAGCAATTTAAGATACGCGGCGACTCGGGCACGCAACTGCAGCTTTTAGTGCAGCAACGTATGCTGCAGCAAAAGCGTAACTTGTATCATCGACACAGGGGCGGCGGTAGCCCGACTCCGATCCCAGTTTCCACCAGTGGCGGCACTAGTAGACGTGCCGATCACGTACCGAGGCAAGACAGCTACAAGCTGGCACAACGTACACAGATTTTGCCGCCTCTCTCTCAGGGACACGTAGACCGAGACTTCGACAGAGATAGAAAGCGAGACGAGGAAAGGTGGAAGAGTCTACCGTCCCGCTTGGCAGCGGATTGCCAGTTGGCGGAGAGGTCGCTAATATGGAGCCAGCAGGTAAATTCATAAAAAAGTTACTGAAGTAAAAATAGATAGATCGGGCAAACATATGAACGACTGAAGCGACGTGTACAGCCGTTGGAGCGCTTTTTACAATTGGACTGTGACACTCTCTATTTGGAGGGAGTAAATTAATCGACACTGTAGAAAATAACACTGTAGAAAATGAAACTGGAAAATCCTTGTACATAGTTCACTCAATGTAGAAGATAAGATATATATATTTTTTTTAATTGAGTGTCTGGGCATTATTGTAAATGCTTTCCACATTTGCAATAGTGAGCTAATGTACATAATATTATTTAGTACCTATAATGTTATTTAGTACTTGCGATTTATTAGCACAATTATTTATGTTAAATGCAAATAAATGATTATTTTTCTTTAATTTGACAGTTATCTTTTATTCTAATTTGCCTTACTGCATGAACCATCCTTGATATAAAATTGTCATCTTGTTAGTAATTCAATCTTATACGCACTTCAAACAGGAAAACTCCCTCCTAATACGGAGAAATTATATATTATTGTATATAATTGATTCAATTTTTATATCTTTATATTTTTACGTCAATTGTAATAAAGCAATCAAGCGTATTTTTTATATACAAATATACATATATTCTTATATGTACATGATATGCATATAAAATATTTGATTATAAAATTGAAGTGTCTATATCCCACAATGCTTCCATATCATTTTGCTTGGCATATATTTTGCCCGAGTTTATGCATATAGATACAAAAATATAAAAAAGAAATGAATTATTCACATGCCAGATGTTAAATAACTCATACAATATGAAACATTAGGTGGGTCTTAGTGGAGGTGCGTCTTACTTGCCACCTGGCAGTGTAGGTGGTTTCTTGTGGCCCGCCACCAGCAATCCACATTCAACCATCTTCGAGAATGTAGGGGATCCAATGGAATAAATTTCTGCCCTATCGTTATATTAGTAATTGCCTCGAGATCTTGCGTATGAAAAGTCAGCTGAATTATTATATCAACTCTGTCAGCAGTGTTCCCTCCCTAGTCTTTCCACGTTGACTTTTATTAACATAGTTGCATATCATTTTGCATCTGATAGAGAAACGCTAAGATATACGAAGGATTTAATGACGTTCACTCATCTACGATTACATACTCAAGATCTCCGATTAGTTGTATGGTACATGTTACTGAATGCCAAAGATTTACAATTTTGTATTTCTATTGGCCCGAAACGTTGGTACTCGAGGATTTGATGAAGCGCTAAAAGCTGCGTACAATATTCCATACAAATCGTTCGCTAATGTACTACTTCACAAAGTTATACTTGACGCTATTGTACGTCTGCATGAGTACACCCAGACTACGTATACATGACTAAAAAAAAAGTTCTCATGCAAAGGAATCTTTATCATACAGTAACACGTGTACCTGCCTTATTAAAATGACTGATTCTACCAGTCAAATATCCAATTATATCATAGACTGATAATTCACAAGCTGAAACACCAACCAAGTTTAATTGAAGAGCAAATGACATAGGACTTGCTTTACACACTCCGCTATTGAGAGTATGACAAGACGGAAGGAGAGAGAGACAGAGAGACAGAGAGAGAGAGAGAGAGAGAGAGAGAGAGAGAGAGAGAGAGAGAGAGAGAGAGAACTGCAGGATTTTTAAGTATTGTTAACGAGGTTTTTAATTGACGAATTCAAGTAGACTTAGGAAGCTTAGAGTTCGTTCATTTTCGTAACTGCTCATATGTATAAAAACGAATAACGGAATATTACGAATTTACGCGAATATAAATCCTTAGAGGGATATTCTGTACTGCCAATGAGTGAGAGAAATGCGAATGCTCAAGTTGTTGACGAGATATTATAAATATGTTATAGAATAAGGCGTAAGAGAAAAAAAAACGAAATATCGACGATAGGGTATAACAGCGACTGAAATAGGATTAAAGTTCTGTCGATAGCGGAGCGCAAGTACTATGCCATTTTCGCTTTTCCATTAATTTAATCGAAGAGTGGAAATACGACGCGGGTTGAAAAGAACCTTTCGTTACGTTTTCTTAATGAACGTTCCATTGTACAAAATTAGAGATGTTTTCTTCTTCCACTCTTCACCGATGGTGACCATAGAGAATAGAGAAAATAATAACGGAAAAACAATAATATTAGCGGTAAATAGTAGCTAATGTGTCAGAAGTGCTGCATTCTGTAGAGATGTTGAAACAAATCATTTACGTGATCATTTCCTAACATAAACATAATAAGTTAACTGCATTTTATATATATGTTATCTCTTTCTAGAAATATTTAAAGCCACTGTATTAACAGTCGCACTACTTTTATACAAATATCTTTCATGAATCGTTCACCGATATCCTCTGAATATGATTTCTCTTTTCTAAACGGAATATTTTCTATTTCGACAGCTCTGTTTTACGAGCTTCTTGCGTAATTATAATTAATTAGGAGAACATTGACGAGAAACAATAATTGCGAAACCGTTTGTACGTTTGATATGAATACAGCACTTTAAAAAAACAGTATATACATACATATATTATTAGAATCTAGTAATCTAGTCAGTAGCAAGCAATACCGGCCGCGCACAACTGACAACGACTTTACTATTCAAATTTTTCGCCATTTTTTACCCGACAGGAAACAATCAAACATCGCTCAAAAATCTTTTGATAAGTGAGACATAACTGTTAAGTTAGCCTAATCGCAAACGAAATCCACTATCTGCGAACGGACATCGACGCGAGGTATTCATGAATCTCAGGAATTGAAAATCAATTTCGGCATTGTTGCGAATTCTTATAACACGCCTGTCTTTTCCGAACTCATATATAACTCTTTGGATTGCGTAAAAGTAGAAAGCCAGTATCGGGTTTTGGTAGCAATAAATTGATTTCACCTGTCCATCAAAATGCAAAACACAACTATACGACTCCGACGGAAGATTCTGCGACAATTACATGTGATACTACTTGTTTTGTATGTAAGCTATCGTTTTAGAATATGTAATCCGTTTAAAGATAAAGACTACAATCCGTTTTGCGGAAGTAATTATTTGCTATCAAGCACTGACTGCCATACAGACAATTTGTCGTGAAGAAGAAAAAAAAATTAAGAAAGAGACCTGAGACAGAGGGTCGCTTATACGTGTATACAATATAAAAAATTTCGTTTTTCATGCTCTTAGCAAAGTGCGCACACATACTATCACTTCAACAGTCATATACGATAGTAAGTAGTTACTTTTTGTAAATTGCAAAATTGTCGACATATGTATACATGCGAGTTCTAAATAAAACATATGCAGATTGAGATCCAAACTGATGTGTTTCGAGCATTCGTAGAAGTTTCCTTTATTTCGACACGGTACATATCCGCGTTAAGAGCTTGTATTTACAATAGCGTTATCGATTAAAATGTCTAGCGGAACTTACAACGGCTTTCTCTCCTCGAAAAGATCACAGCCCGTTCTCCCAGCTTGATCCTTGGCTTGCTGCGGCGTGAGCTTTTCGTGTTCACTGGGGTTCAACGGCTCCCCGTTCTCGTCCAACTGGCCGTTTGCAAGGTCCTCTTTTATCTTTTCGGAATACACTACGTCAAACAAATCTTGAGCAGTGAACTCGGGCTCTGTGATCCCTTCCGCTTTATACGACACGTATGGTTTCAGGGTGAAACCTTCCAATGAAGGAACGATTAATTCAGGAACCATTTCTGGCACGTGAATCCATTTGTCGCCAAGTTGGTAGCCAGTACCCCTCGTACCTCTTCCTGTAATTTATCATAGTGATTCATTAACATATTACAACATTACACAATACACCCTTGACTTACACCATACATATATCGTTAATCTATATCTGATTGCAGAGAACTGGCGACCAGTCTTTTTCTACGTTACTCATTATCCTCTATGCAATGAAATTAGACCATGTTTACTCATGAGGATAATTTATTACTCCAAAACGTGATGTATTGAAGGCAATGACTTACTATCTATTGGTATGTCAGGATCCGGATTCTTCATTTGTTGCTGTTTGAAGTTGCGACTGCCACGTTTGCCGTACAGCAAGAATTTCCGAAAATTTCGCTTCCCGTTGCAAACGCAGGAAGTCGCGATTCCACGTCGCAATATCATGCAGGGTGACGCCATTATCGTGTTCCTGGTTAAGAAAGCAGATCAATAAAATTACAAATAAGTAACATTACATTCAAATATTGATTCGAGTTGTAACAGAAAGCTATTAAAACACTTGCGAGGATGGCATTAAACATAACCTAATCTACGATCGCAACTGCTAAATCACGGATTTGTATCGACGATACTGATTGACGTTGAAACGTGGTATTTACTGAATCTTACTTAAAATTCACGTTATAAAATAAAGGGACTAACACTCTGTAATTCGTGTTGCAGGTTAATTTTAATCAATCAAGCAGAAGCGTTCACTTCACACACACTCTCCACGCCATTATTTACATTATTATATTTCGACAGAAGCGCCAAGATCAAGTAAATCCTACATTGTCCTATATACATCAAAGAACTCCTCGGATAAGATTTTTTTGCAAGATACCAAATCATTAAATCATCGGCTGTCGATATAGAATTCTCGACCGTCGATGTAAAAATATCACAAAACAATTAATTATTTCTTCCAATACATGTACATACAATTATATGTATTTACGTATATGCACACTTGTTTCAAAAAATGCAAATAATGCAGTTAAAATGAATAGATCTGCCAATGAAAGACAAGCCTAAAAAAGAAAAGAAAAAACCTATAACATTAATTTACCAGCTATAATGGAAGCTCTTTATGCGTTTTTCTGCGCTACTTTTTGCGCTCAAAATGAGATAATTATACATTACTGACATCTTAGAGAAGGATTAAAAATGAAATATTAAAAACACGGTAATGAAACGGACATTCCTATTTATAAGCCTCATCCATTTGCAGCGCGCGATAAGAGAAAATCAAAAGATGCACTCAGAGACCTGTGCGATTACTAATCGTGCTAATCTTGAATGTATAAGTTGTTCTCAAAATAAATTACATATCAGTAAATAAAGACAAAACATATATATCTGCCCCACGCGGCAATATTTTTAGTTATATTTCGATTTTGTAAAAATGATATCATGAAAAAAAATTTACGGACTTGATAGCATATTTATACTCAACAATTAAATTGTTCAATGTTTTTGTTTTAGAAATATCAAGCATATGTTATATTGAAATATTAAAATACTAAACAGTATTTTCGTCAAACAATTATATAGTATTATTTAACATTTAATAAACAAAGCGAAACAGATGGGATATAGAAAAACGGAGCAGACGGGACTGTGCCGAATATCTGTCTCCAATCTATCTCTCGCAATTAGAATAATAGATCCGTCAATCATAATACGGATTTCTTTCGTCTCGTCGGCGCCCCGAGGCTACGCGCGCGACTGTCGCAATTCTCAATCTCCACGCGGCCGTACAACGGATTAGCACGATGCGCAATTAATTCCTCGAGCGTCACGCAACTCACGCATCCAACTCTCGTTTACATCTGTTATTTATCCCCGGCGGCTCGAGTGACCCCGGGACTCTGACGCTTCCGATAAAAGAGGCAAAAAAAGGGAGTAAGAAAACAAAACAGAGAAACAGGTACGAAAAAAGGAGACTTGACGCGCGCACGGCCGCGGCGGCGGAGGATCGGAAGGATCAGCTGAGGATGCGAGGCGAGGAGACGCGGCGGCCGACGCGCACATCGTCCCCGGACACCGCGGGCGCGCTACCGCGATCGTAGACGCACCAGAAAGGACCACCGCCGCTCGTCCTGCCGTCCTCTCGGTCGGCTCTCGGTCAGGTTTCGCGCGCGAGACCACCAGGGGCACCAGCAGGACCACCTTTTCGAAGGAGCCGCGCCACGGCGATCGGCCATTTTGCCAGCCAGCCGCAGAGCGCAGGCCAGCGGGGACCGTGGTCAACCGTGGTGGCCATCTGACAACCGCACGCCGCCCGCCGTCGCCCGCCGATCGCCCTGGAGCGTGAGCGTGTTGAGGAGGTGCGTTCCGCTCGTCGCGCAAAAAAAACCACGGCGACGCAACAACGCAGTTTCGTCAGGTGTGCGTCAGCGCTCGCGGAGATCGCGACCGCGACAGCGACCACCACCCCCGCATCCGCGCGGCGTTCCGCGGAGCACGGTCGACAGTCGCGGGACCGCGCAACACGCGTCGTCGTCGTCGTAGTCCCGCGAGCGCGCTTGTGTAACCGCCTCGTCGTCGCGTGTGCGTGACGTCTAACCTATGACTCCGTTCTGAAAGGAGTCGGGAACCACCGCCGTCGCGTCGCCGTCGGGGATCGTCCTTCTCTTTCTCTCTCTCTCTCGCGCGCGCTCGCCGCGCGGACGGGATGCGATCGCGACGACGGCCGACCGATCCGCCGGGCGTCGACGACGTCCACGAGTGAGAACGCGGGATTACACGCCGGCGCGTCCGCGCGAGAGGAACCACGCGGACGTCTACGTCTACTCCGTGAAGCGGGGAGAGACCGAGCGACGGTCGACGATCGAGTCGAGTCGAGGCCGTCGAAGCCAGGAGATCTCAGACGATCGCGATTGTGCAACGCGTTCGGACGACCGAGCTTCACCCAAGCAATAACGCAGGCCAGGCGTCGAGGAATATTCCACCGTTACGGCGGACACTTATCGATGAATAGTCCAAATATTTTTGTAAGATTGTAAGCCTATTGAGGGAGCGCAGGACCAGCGGGCTACGATGTTTCGTTATACCGATACCGCATCTAAGGTATTAAGGAGTTAACTGAGGGAGAGTGTCTCTCGCAACTCCCAACGTGACAGGAGACCTCGCTATTTCGAGTGCCACACATGCGAGGAAGGTCTTGGAACAATCAGCTTAGTGCCATGTACAGAAACAACCGGAGTAGCCAGCAAGATTGATATCTGTATATCTGTCGCTATACCTGTGATATGAGGTATACCGTGAATAAGATTTGACCAGGGAGGATCTTGGACATTTTGGTAGTCTGCCCCGTTCAGAAAATATGGACGACCGAAGGGTAGCGGATTATTTTGTTATCGCCGGACTACCTGGCCAGGACGACGAGCTCAGCGACGACAATGAGAGTAACAATAAGCTGGAGGATTGGTGTCAGGAGGGCACTCATCTCAAGGACATGCATATGCCACCTCCCATCACGGATCTTGCCGTAATAATCCCGGCGCTGGGGGAACACTGTCCGGAGGGGTACACTCTGTTGGAATATACCGTGTCTGGTTTTCCGGCGGACTTGAATCACGGGAGCTTACGAACAAACGAGTGTTACTTGTGCTATAGAAGAGGACGGGATAAGCCTCCCTTGGTTGACATTGGTAAGAAATAGGAGCGCCTGATCGATTCTAGATATTATTGTCTAGAAATTATTGCTAATTGCCTTTTGCGTTACGGTATCTGAATGTTTTACTTTTTGCAGGTGTAATATATGATGGAAAGGAACGTATAATGCAGGATGCTGAAATGGTATTGGAGACCCCTAAAGGCCACGTGGCAAATGTGAATAATTCTACTTCGAAAATTTTTGTAACGTACAGACGGGCGAGTCGGAAGATGCCTTGCAATTCCCTTGTGGTTACGGACATATGTGTTATCTTGACAAATAAGGGAGAGAGCCCGCCGCACGCTTTCTGCGTTATCAATAAGAACTTGAACAAGGGGATGCTCGGCAGCGACGTATTTTTGTGCTATAAGAAGTCTATGAATCGCGCTAATTTGGTGTCGTTTAAACCAGCGATACTCTACAAATATCCCATGGCGGATTACAACGGTTTCAGCTTTCCTAATTCTGTCGCCATGTTTTGTCTACCGATGGGCGCGACTATAGAATGTTGGCCTAAAGTAGCGTGTAAACCTAAGCCGGTATTCTCGACGTTCGTCCTAACGGTTGCCGATGCTGCTCAAAAAATATACGGTTCAGCAATAACGTTTTACGAGGAGCTGCAAATGGAGCCCGATACTTCGAACTGCAAAAATAATCAGGAGATTATGGACACGGTTGAAAATAATAAAAACAGTGGTAAATATGTATTTCATAATCCTAATTTGATAGTCTTGACTTTTCTGTCAGATAATCTTGAATTTGTAATACAGAATAAGAGATATTTTTAACATTCTATTTTGTTACATAGCATTTTCTTTTTTTTTTCAGCAGATAATATGGAGATAACTAAAGATAAGCCGCAAGTGAAAATGAAGTTTAAGAGATCTGGTATACTCAAGAAGCTTAGTATATTGGAGTTGGAAAGGTTGCAGTACACAGATCCCGCGAGCCAGTCACTGAATATTAGCAAATCTATATGTATATTGTCTCATTGGCCGTTTTTCGATACATTCGAGAAGTTTTTGGTTTTCCTACACCGGATGGTGAACGACCAGCCGCAGAGTGTCCCGATCGAGAAGTATATCTCGTATTTTTTATGCGACATACCGTTTCCGAGTCCGCAACGCCCACGAATCTTGGTACAGCTCAGTAGTCAGGACAGACTGATCTTGACTCAACCGGAGGATTTAGCTCTGCCTAGATCAGGCGCAAGTTTCAGGCAACTACTGATAAACTTGGGACCTGACAATTGTTTGTTGATACTGCTATTGATATTGACCGAGCAGAAAATACTGGTTCACTCCTTACGTCCGGATGTATTGACTTCCGTGAGCGAGGCCATTGCCATGATTCTGTTTCCTTTCAAGTGGCAATGTCCTTACATACCGTTGTGTCCTTTAGGATTAGCAGAGGTAATATATAATAAGCTTGCATACCGTTTCCTTATTATACGATTGCAAAAAATAGAAAGGCATCTATTTAAATTGCAGGTATTGCATGCGCCATTGCCATTCCTGATCGGTGTGGATTCAAGGTTCTTTGATTTATATGATCCTCCTGCTGATGTCAATTGTGTGAATCTGGATACGAATAACATTGCAATATGCGACGACAAAAAATATTTAAATGTTAAGTTACTGCCTAAAAAGGCAGCTAGACAGCTCAGAAATTGGTTGGAGCTCTTGTCCTCCAAGATAATTTCGTGGGGAAAAACTAGCTGTTCCCAAAAAGGTATGCTATTATTTATTTCTTTCTACTATCTTCTCTTTTACTACTATCTCTTATTACTAACATTAATTTATCACTCTCATACTAGATAGAGGAGATGAAGACTTTAGTGTGGACAGGGAATTTCAACAAAAACGAAAGGAGCAAGCTTTAGAACTTGAAATACAGGACGCTTTCTTAAGGTTCATGGCGACGATTCTCAAGGGATATCGAAGCTATTTGTTACCGATTACAAAAGCACCTACTGTAGGAACGACAGATCCGACAAGTTTATTTAATATCCAAGCGTTTTTGAGAAGTCGCGATAAAGCCCACGCTAAATTTTACACCATGCTCGCCAGAACGCAAATGTTTATCAGGTGAATTATTTTTTCTCATTAATTTTATCATAATATTATTCATGACGTATCAGCATAATTTTATTTCTAACAAAAATGCAAATTTTATAGGTTCATAGAAGAAAGAAGTTTCGTGTCTGACATGGATATGGCGGGGTTAGCATTTTTCGATGAATGCACAGAACGAGTCGAGGAGGAAAATGGTATAAAATTAAAATACATTTTTCTACGTTATTGGTGCACATACCATAAATATTTGGGTAATAATTGTTTTATTGCTCGTTTAATTTTCAGTAACTCTTTTGGAACTGGATGAATCTCAACATAGTGAACGTACAGTATTTATACCTCCGCCTGAAGCAGGGACAAATCAAACACCAATAATATACAAGTCGTTCAAGTTGAACCCGGATCTAATGAGGCCTCAGAAGAATTTCTGTTTAAAAAATCCATCTCTAAGTGCCTTTGGTATGGTACCTGGGAGTCCTATGGCTCGTAGAACGAAGCATGAAATCAAAGTTGCTCAAAGGATGGCTCGAAAACAAGTAAGTGAAACGATTGACTAAATATGAAAATATTCTCGCAAGCAAATATGCATGTGTGATTTGTTGTATTTTTTTCAGGCTGCGATGCCCGACAGATGGGGCAGATGCCTGCTCGTCACATGTCACAGTCTTTGGTTTCTGCATTTACCAGCCATGTTGCAAGTATCTAGCCAACCTGCTGCAATTTTGCATCAGGCTTACGAGATATTGGTCAAAATGCAGAAGTTACATCTCGATCCTATGGAAGAGGTACAAATACGAAGTTCTAATTTAAAATAAGTAGACCCATCATTTTTAAACGAGTACTTGTTATTTTTGTTAGGTATGCTACAGAGCTATGATGCAACTTTGTGGAGTATACGGGCAACCAGTTTTAGCTGTAAAGTTACTGTTCCATATGAAACGCAGTGGTGTTCAACCTAACGCTTTAACGTACGGATTTTACAACAAGGTAATTTATCGATTTTGCTAAGCTAATAAATATAGTAAAAAGAAATATACATATTATATAAAGTTTTTCAATCATCTTGAGAATTTTAGTTGATCCTCTATTGTGTTTACAGGCTGTTCTCGAGGCAACTTGGCCTTCTGATATGACAAACTCAAGTCAGTTAATGTGGAACAAATTACGAAATGTCATTGTCGGTGCAGCTTTATTTAAAAAAGCTGGGAAAAAGAGCGCTAGAAGACGATTGAGCTCTAATGTGGATTTCTTAACCGCCGATAAGACTGAATGCATGGAACACGCGCTCTCTCGGTCTAGTCTCGACAGTTCCCATTCTCAGGATACTGAAGCTGCTCACAGTGATTGTAAGTTGATTTTTTTTTTACGTATGGCAGCTAAATCACATCAGTTTTCAAATAATAATATTTCTTTCTTTTTCCGGCAGCCACTAAGGGCAGTTCTGTGTCAGATCTACCTGGATTCGGATCATTCGAATTAAAAGCCAAGCTTCTTCGGCAGAATAGTATAGTGAAAGATCAAACAACATTAAGTATTTTACAATCGGACGAATTGGAACAAACACCAAGTAACCCAAGGTATTTTATTGTAAATTTACTTGAAGTCGTTAGTGTCGCTCTCAGGTTTGCCCCATTTGCTGGAACCGCTTGTTTTAGACTATTATTTCATTAGTATTATAGTAGCGGATGCAAACGAGTATTCATTGTGTAGACTATTTTCTCATTGTCAAATCTTAGGTAATTAATCTTTTCATATTAAATTTTACAATGCTAATTTGCATGTATAGGCTTATGTAGATGTAATATTTTCCATGTAGGCTAACGCGCAGTGTCGAATCGCCTTTAAAAAGTCCCATACGCACACCAGTTACGGAAAATGACCCATTGGGTGCTCTCATTAATGACGAAACACCAATTGTGTCGCCTTCCGAGGAAAACGATTCAAATTGCTCAACAAGTACTTTAACCGTTTTAAATAATATGACTGAAGAAAGACCAGGAGGGCCGCTCTTATTTAGAAGGTATGGTACTTTACATATTGTATTCGCATGATTGAAACATTTTTAAATATTTAGACGAGGAAAATGAGATTTAGAAGTAGCATACCGCAGAATTATTTTCGAAAAAGTTATAGTTATTATAGTTAAAAGGGTAACTATTTCCTCAAAATAAAGACATACAGGGAGAAAGGGAAAGGAATACATAAAAATAATTATAACTTGCAACCACTTAATGGGAGACTGTTACTGGTAATCAAAGTTATCGCGAGTACTTGCACAACAAGTATTTCCTTCGTGGAGAGATCATTGTATTGAACATGCTTTGTGATCTCCAAAGATATGCATTCCAGTATATAATTTTAAATACGAAAATTACTGTATAAAATATATGTTTACAGCAACATCCTCCCACGTAGTGCGACGTTTCATCAAGCAGTAGATGAAAGTGGCATGACAGTGGGTGGGCATTTGCAGAGGAGTGAGACGATGCCTCACTCCGTGGCGCAACAAGGGGAACAGGAGAGAGAAAAAGAGAGACTGGAAATAAGCAGTCTTTGGTCTCAGAATAAGGATAGTGTAACGTCCAGCCTCTCTAGCTTAGGATCTAGTCTTAAACTTAGTTTCGGGTAAGATATCTGCGTATGTTTAATTTAATAACGCGCACGTAGTCACATAACACCTCGCATAACGCGTTATGTTTTAATTCCTCCAAAGTGTGACGTGATGATAACACATTTGTAAGACTCGTTTACTTTATGTTTTGTTTTTGTTTGTAAAAAAAAATAAGATTATAGTGATTATTAATATTTCAGTTTTTTAACAAAATAAAAATAAACGGTATTGATGGAAAAAGTAAATTGTCATGTATTTACTTATGTATTAATTGTTATAAATTTGTATATATACATAACAAAAGTGACAAGTAAATACGTTTGTAATCACACTGTTAGAGGAATAATATAATTTTATTTTTGTTTATTTTTTGCATGCGCATTTGAGTTGGTTTTTGTTATTTTATTCATTAAATGTAGACGATACTCCACGGGTGGATTGGCATTTGCTAAAAATAAGGATTTAATAACATCAAATCAACTTATTGAATCTCTTAGTCTCTCCAGCTATATCAGGTACGTATAATATATGTATATGTTAGTTGCATAGATGCTCATTAGACATGTGCGGTCCTGTCTTTGTGTGCCTCTACATTATTACAAAATAGTAAATACACATTTTTAATATGTAAAACTTCTTTTGCTCCTTCAGATTTTATGTTTTTATTCATTCTTTATTTTATTTTAGCCCGTCGAGTTTAACAGGAAAAAAGTCGAACGAAATAATACTTGGTGGTCTAAATAGCTTGAAGTCCGCTGCGACAACTGTGGTTAAAAAATTTGACGAAATAAAAGAAGCCATTTCAGCGACGAGTACGCCGGTAAAAAATAAGGAACGCGAACAAAAAATAGCTTACGGGATATCGCATGAGTCTCTAGACTCCCTCACTGATGGATCCATACAAGATCGAAACGAGACAAGGGCATCAGGTAGAGAATATAAACTACGATAATAACGAATATCATATATAATTACGCTATGCAGCGGGGTATTCATGTTTTATTTTTCTTCAATCAGGTGATGGAAATTTAGATTTGTGTTCATTATACGAGCTCGCGGAGTGTCTTTATCCAAAGGGCACTAGAGAGTTAGAGGAACGTCTTGCCATTGAGCTTGTGCTTTCCAGTGCTAGTAGATGCCATCACTGCGCCGCCATCCTGTACGATGAGGAGATAATGGGTGGTTGGCAGCCGGAAGATTCCAACTTGAATACAGTCTGTCAATATTGCGACAAAGCTACTGTACCCCTTCTCACAGCTACGATATTAGATTACAGGTGACTAAGCGACCATAGATCGATCATAAGCGATATTGTCCTTGATAAAATTACCATCAATAATATATCTGTTACGTAGATGCGAAGCAAGCGAGAAGAATAATGATCCTTTAATGGGAGCATTGGTAGAATTACTAGATCAACCGAAAGAATCGTTGGAACCGATAACCGTACCGTATCTAAATCCGTTGGTTCTGAGAAAAGAATTGGAGAGCGTGCTGAGTCAAGAGGGGGACGCATGTCTCACCAAGCACAGGTTTATTCAGGAGCATCCAATAGTATATTGGAATCTGATATGGTACTTCGAAAGGATTAATTTAACGAGTCATCTACCTGATCTCTGGTTGAACAACGATAAGAACTCAGAACTTCAAAGAACTGTAGGATCGGTGGGTGTCAGAACCATGTGGGACAACGAACGACTGCACATGGATCGTTTGCCTATGTATCTCCAGTGGAAGTCAAATTCAGAAGACAGGACGTAAGTTTCAATAAATCACCCTTTAAATTGATACGATATTTAAATTTTAAATGTAACCGAGTATTGTAAATAATGAAGGAAGATTAACGGTTATCCGGATTAAGAAACGATAATTAAATAACGATCAGATTCATTTTTGAACAGATATGCGAAATGATTACAGCTGTTATCTTGTTAATCTTTTGCTTGCTCTAGATTGATGCAGGCAGTGATAACGTATGTCCGTTGCAACGACTTAGCGGAACCTATAATAAGAGTGGCCTTAGAAAGAAGTAAACATCAAACAGGCGATCATCCGTTGTCTATATATAGGGATATCTTGTTCCTGGCATTTACTGTATTGGGAAGAACGAATATCGACCAAGGTGAGCTATGTGTACATGATTAAAAGATTATATAACAACTCGTCTAAACAATTCTAACAAATTTATACAAGATGTATGCTTCCCAAAATTACTGATTCACTATCGAAATACTTGTCGAGTTTGCGTTAGCGTCAGTTTGTCTAATAACGATTTTTGTTCTTACAGGTGTCTTCGACAGGGAATACAGTTTATCGCTGGAGAAATTCTCCGAGAACGAGGAGAAATTATTGCATAAAATTGATGCGCCGCCGACAATGATGTCGGTGTATTGCAGGCATTACTTCAAGCAATTAAACGTGTAACATGCGAACTAACGTTACCTCATCCTCGTTTCTTCATAAGACTCCGCTTTACTCGCTGACACCCGTGATACTTGTCTTTGCTTGCGCAAGAAAACTTAGACGGATCGTCGGATTCGGGCACATAGTTCTCGAACTTCGATCACGCACGCACGCGAAAACTGACGGGAGTAGCCATCGGATCGGTTGCATCGATATCGTTTTAGCGTTGATTAGTTAATTGATTGACTGAAGTTTCTTTCTTTATCACGGCGACAGAAGCTGTGTGACGTGAAGGAATGGGGAAATCATTAACCAGTCGGAGCTATCGATGCTACCGATCGCGAGATAAGTCAGTGCAATAGAAGTTGAACGATAATATTTTTAACTAATCGTACATCTCTGATCTTCGTATGTTTATAATGTAATTGTTTTTAACAGTTATTGACTCTTTCCTTTGTTTGTTTTTTTTTTAATTAATAAATCGGGTCGCGCATGCCTCTGTTTTGTGATTCAGTAACTTGTGCAGCGCATTAGCGGTATCTAAGAGTACAACATTGAAAAGTGTTAAGTACCAAAGAATTTACGGACTGTAAAGCGACTGCAAGTTCAATTCCCTCCAGGTGTGCTGTGACCTTAAATACGTTTCAGTCCGACACGTAATATCCACGATGTAAAGAAAAAAAAAAGAAGAAAGAAGGCGATGTTAAACGAAACAGCGCCTAATACCGACTATTTTTTTTACCGCGAGAAAGAGCAAAGGAGAGAGAGAGAGAAGGAGAGAAAGAGAAAGCGTGACGTGAAGTATAGCGTGTGACATGACGAAACGCAGTATTCTTTCCTTGTACTCTTAGATAGAAACGATCGTTTATTGCACGACAAAACACACAGCGTAAGTATCGTTTCTCTGCGTCCCAGGTGAAAAGTGTTCTTCACATCAGGGTGTGAACGCGTTGAACTCGACTACTTATCCTCAAACGTAAATGCTTAGCATGAGAGTGAATATTTTTATGAATTTTAGACGATTCGAAGCATTCGTAAATAGATTAGCGGAATTTAGATTCGCTGCCCACGATTTATTCATTGTCGAAATGGGATGAAGAGAGAGAGAGAGAGATTAGTCGTCGCTAAGAGGACTCACGAAACGCGGCCTTTTGGTGCCGTGCACTTTTCACCCTGGACAAACGTGGATGAACGTACGTTCATTCATCACAGTACTATGAATGTAGATTATGAAAATAAAGTCAGTTGAGGTATTTTACAAAAGGCGTTGGTGTTTTGCCCATTTTATTTTCAGAGAACTATTAATCTATATAAAAATATTGTAATGCAATTATCGAAAAGTAAAAATAGTTAGAGATATTATATTATTTAAATGTAAAAAAATACATGTTTCATAAACTATTCACTTTTCGATAATTTTGCTTTAATATTTTACGTGCAGAATAACACGCAAAGAATCAATTTTTGTAAAAAGAATCATATTCTATTTAAAATAGAGATGTGTATGTATAAAAAAATATATATTAAGAGGCATAAGGTAAAATTAAAATACGTAGAGATCTAAAAAATTATTAAAATTATTAGGAGAGTACATTTCGATAAGAAATTAAATTTCGCGGTTTCTGGATATGATTAATTAAAATTAAAAAATAAACTGAGATAGGTTGCGAATTCAAATTTCGTAAGCTAACTTCTCGGCGCTGAAACATTTGTCTAATAAAGAAAACAACTTCAGTTTGCTTAATTAAAATTTGTTCGCGTTGTCTTTCATCGAAACTGATCCTTCTCATCTGATCGATTTGAAAAGAGAGGGAATTTACAGTCATTCCGAGGTGTCATTCAAGTATTGAGATATATTTGAATGAATTTAAGTGAATGAATTTATACGAGTAAGTACAATAGAATGTTCGCCGAAGAAATGAAGAGACGAAAATACTGGGAGAAAATGTTCCAGGTGCGTCACGAAGTCGCTCGTTTCTGGAACGCGGGGCGTTCTCCGCAGTTCGATCGTTTCGTTCGTTAATATCCGCTCTCGTCGCGTCGTCTTCCCAAATCGGGCCAAATCCGCCGCGTTCTCGCTGAAATCGCGAGCGCAAACGTATGTACATACATACATATACCCGTTTCGTACGCCGAGAGAACGGCGACGCGCGAAGCCGAGCGCCGCCGAGCGCGGCCGAAGGTGACCGAACGCGAACGCGCCGCGCGTTCCTCGCGCCCGACTTCACTCGGCTAGTCGGCTCCGAGCGAACGAAGACGGTGGATTCGTGCGCGCGCGCAGCTCCATTCAAGCTCCGGTGTTCGGTTTTCGCCGTTCGCTCCACTCAATTACGCGCGTATACGCGTATGTGTACACCGTGCGTGTGCGACGTGTGCGGTGTGCGTGCGCCCAGCAGCGGCGAATCCGGGGGGGAAGGCAGTCGTCGCGCGGCAGTGGTGCGTTGCGTACTGCGGCGGTCGTCGGTCGTCGTCGCCGAGCACCGGTGCAACGAAACCGTGGACGGTATTACGCTCGCGGGTGACATGTTCGCCAGGCGTTGAACCGCGCCGAGAGTGCCGAGACACTCGTCGAGAAACGAGCGAACCGCGCCGTTCGGTGTGTCGGTGTGCGCGCACTGCGCGCGCGTGTGTGTGTGAAACCGGACCTCCGACACCGATTTTCCCTGTTCCCCGTATCCTCCCGCCGTCGCCGTTGACATCGCCGTTCGGCGAACAAGGATAGAAAAGAGAGAACGTGTCCAGTATCTCCGGCAATGTACTCCGACGGCCACGAGGTGGACGGCAGCTGGGTGCTGCGCGTCTACGTGACGGATCTGCAGGTCGAGAGGAGCTTACGCGTAAAGGGCGAGCTGCACATCGGCGGTGTCATGCTGCGCCTCGTGGAAGACCTCGGTGAGTCCTCTTAAAACACACGCATAATACTCTCTCTTTCTCGCTTCTTCGTCGGTTTTTTTTTCCCCACTCTCTTTCGTCGCTATCTCCTCCCCGACTTCCTCTCGCGGCGTAAAATGTGGCCGCTCGACTCCGGTTCTTCTTCGCGTTCGCATTGGACGTATATTGTACCTATACGTACGTATACGTACTACGTACGTCGCGATGCGCGACAGGTGGAATTTGAGCTTGTCGGTGGTGACTCCGCGACGGCTCCGATTTTGAAGTTACCGGCGATATGGCGCGCATGCATCCTGCGCGATCGGAACGTTGCAATTCGAAACGGAGCGAGCACGCTCGACGCCGACGGGTCGATTAACCGTGTACGTTCGTCGCGAGGGAGGCAACACTCCGAGAGAGTAATCTGTCGAAAACGATTAGAGATCATATCTTAGGTACCTTACGGTTCTAGATAGTGCGTCCATACTTGTATGTATGGAAGAAGCAAAGGAAATAGAACGTGCCGCGCGATCGCACGAAATCAATTGGACACACCGTTATCGCGACACGATCGAGATCGAACGTGTAATCATTGTATAAAGCGACTAAAATTTAGATTAAATTCTTTAACTGATTTTAAATACTGATTTGAAGTGTATCTTATTTGTCCAAATATATTTGAAGGAGATATACACGCCAATATAATCGATATGATGTAATATGTCTTTAATTAGAATATAATATTGTAACATTAATAAATAATAGTAATGTTTGACGTTGCATTATAATATTATCACGATGTTATAATATATCGTGTTATACACCGAAATGTAATATAATTTATATGATAAAATAATTAAATGTATTGAGAAAGAGCGAATTAATTTTATTTATTAATTTCAAAACGGAAGAAAGTTAATCGATAAAAAGAGACCTTGGAGTTTGCGATTCTCCGCAAAAATAATAAAGTTAACTAAAAATTCTCAATTCCGATAACTTTGACCGCCGATTAACGATTTTTCTGGTAGATAACCGGTTAATTTTACGAGACTGAAAACATCGATCGCCCTTGCATCGGCACAGCGTGGATAATTAGCCAAGTCGATGCAGGACGGTTTTATCTTCGACGAATTAACCAATTTCGATCGATTGAACGAGCCGGTTCCCATATCCACCCGTATACTGGGTGGTCCGTTATTGCTGGCCGGAAAAGACGATGGGAAAGATGAGCACAGATTAAGATTTTCTCACATGCAACTTATACGTAAAATTTTATCGTATATCTCTACACATTTTTTCAATTCTTTAGCAATATTCGATATATTCTATAATTTTTTTCGATAATACTCAGCCCTTTTCCATTTATATATCACCACTTACAATAGATCATTTTGTACATACATTGCACATGCAAACTTGAGAAATAAATCCAACAAAAGGAATGGGGGTGAAAAAAGGGGGGAAGAGATGCGATTTCTTCGTCGAACCCGCTCTCGTTCGCGGAAGTTTGTTCGCTTCCGCGAAATAAAATTTTCGCGCGATACGGAGACCGCGGCGATATAGAATTGCCGAACAAACGTATAGTGAGGAAACGCTTCCGGTGAAGAGAATAATTTCAACGCACTGTTTACCTGACGGTCGCGCGATAAGGAATAACTCGTCGTATCTCGAGTGTGACGCCCACCCCTCTCCCGGGTGGCGATAATGATAATCTCACGCGAGTGCCGATATCCATGTTTTCGTTCACCGAGTATATTCACTGGGCGTACTATATTTCACTTAAATCGATCTGTCGAAACGCGGTTACGATACAAAATCAACCCCAAACTTTATCGAAGAAGATTACCCCGAGCTTTCGATGAAGATTGTAATTATATATATCGATGCAAAAAAAGTTTAAAGTC